AATAATCCGGTGTGTCAGAAATTATCTATTATTAGGGGGGCATATTTATTGAAAGGATTTGGTAGGGCCGCCTTTAAATTCCTGTTAAAATCAAATAGAACCGAATTAAAATCCCGTTAGAATCAATTGAAATTTAATTAAAATTCCGTTAAAATTCAATCAATTAGAATCGAATTAAAATCCCGTTAGAATCAATTGAAATTTCATTGACATTCCTTTTAAAATCAGTTGAAATCGAATTAAACTCCCGTTAGAATCAATTGAAATTTAAGTAAAATTCTTTTCAAAACCAACTAAAATCAAATTAAAATCCTGTTAGAATCAATTCATTAAAATTGATTTAGAATCAGTTGAAATCGAATTAAAATCCCGTTAGCATCTATTGAAATTTGATTAGAATTCCTTTTAAAATCAATTGAAATCGAATTAAATGCTAGAACCAATTGAATCTTTTAGAATTCTTCTAAACATCAATTGAAATTGAATTAAAATCCCGTTACAATCAGGTATAATAGAAAATCCAAAGGAATCAGGGATCCCCTTGACATCCTAGGTTTTGGTTGATTTTCATATGGTTTTATAAAGGATTTTTTATACAAGAACTGACTGCAACTTTAAATGATTTTACTACAGTTTTAGCGTATTTAACTAAATCTCAATTGAATTTCATTCGATTTCAACTGATTTTAAAAAGGAATTCTAAGTAAATTTCAATTGATTCTTTTGGGATTTTAATTCGATTTCAATTGATTTTAAAAGGAATGTTAGTTAAATTTCAATTGATTCTAACGTGATTTTAATTTGATTTTAACTGATTTAGAAGGAATTGTAATCAAATTTCAATTGATTCTAACAGGATTCTAATTCGATTTCAATTGATTCTAAAAGGAATTTTAATGAAATACCCCCCTAACGACTTCAAAACCCCCCTAATTCATTATGGTCTGGCTCCTTTCAAAATTAGTACAGCCCCTTTTAAAATGCTCATGAGGAATTTTTNNCGGATGTATTATTCATTATTAGGGGAGGGTTTTGTTAATATGGTGAAGGGATTAGTCTGGACTTCCAAGGTGACATATGAGATTCAGATAGCCTTTGAGGGGACCTATGGGAGATCATCCGTGGGACGAAATGAGCTTTACCGCTCCTGGCTTGTCTCTTGAGCCTGATGCCTTACTTAAGCAAACCATAAGCCTGGAACACTGCATTCAGAAAAACGAGTCCTCGCGGTGGAGGCTCAGCATTGAGACCTTCACTACATCAGGGGAAAACTGGTATCCCCATGCATGCAGCAGAACCCGATTACCCTACAATTGCATAAATATGTCTTGCCCTGACTGAAGCAATGACTGCATAAGTAACATGATTAAGGCGAATCCGAGGTTTGAAAGCTCGACAATAATCACCAATCCATCAAAAACAGTGTCCAGGCATTCTCAAGTCAAGCCTCCATCGTCTATTGCAACAGAACTCCTGGACACACTATATGGAATGTCTCTGAATCTCAACGGCGCCGGGAGCTGAAGCATTCACCAAAGGAAGGAAGTCTTCATTTTTACGGAAGAAACTTGCACGACACCTTGCATGCCGTGCATTCATGAATATCACATTATTTTTGCTATTACAAGTATTATTACTACTATTAGTGGTAATAGTAATAATAATACTACTACTAGTATTACATTGTTTCTACAATTATTATAACGAATACACTGAACCAAACCTTGCCGAGATCCGCACACCCACCAGAAAGGGAAGATCAGCACTCTGTAGCTTTGCGAAGAGGCGTTCACCTCGTCATAATGGGTACCACAGCACCCTTAAAGGCAAAAAAAAAAACTAGTCTAAACTCCCAGTATCTCCCTTCATAACCCCTATAATACACCTCTCTATGATCTCCTATAAGGAGTTTAGACTATAGCTTCAATGAGTAACAATAATTTTGGGAATGCTGGCTTCGGGAGCTTCTTAGAGACCCTTCTTCCTCGCTTTACTTGGCCTTCTAGTGCAGAAATTATCAGATGACCAGTGGGGCTAAACCCTAAACCCTAAACCCTAAACCGTGTTTAGGCCAGGAACTATGTTCAGCATAAGCTTCACGCCTAGGATCTGATGCCAAGCAGACTACCACCAGGCTCTGTGATCTGACAGCTCTCAAGTCCATGTGCTACCACTTTTAGGGAAGGCCCCAGAGATATGGGCATAATCATCTTATGGGATGCATGTGAACTCCTACATCTCCAAGTTTTCTAGTCCCCAAGAATGCGGCACTTATTTGTGAAAGCCTGCTTGCCCAGTTGGGAATTAGCAGCTCTTATTTTGCGGCCATAAAACGCTTAAAATTGCCAACCATGTCTGCTTCGGACAGTCCTCTACCTCCCAACTGCAGGTTCCCAAAAACCTAAATGCCAAACTCAAACTCGGCCCTGGCGCATGTGAGTTAGATTCTGGAGCACGACAAGGCCATCACGGAAGGTCCCGGGGAGTGCAGCTTAGAAGAACTCTGTGACAGGCGCATGTCCAATGCCCAAAATTGGCTTAGTATATATATATATATAGTGATGTCCATTTCATTTTCCACTATCCCAATATAACCCATTATGGTAGTTTCCATTTTCTTTCCCATTATCTCAGCAAACAGAGGGTGTGGCCGCGGGAGGATGGCAGCGTGGCATTCATATGACCACTGACACGGGCCATGACCCCGAACAAACTGCTGCAGTGTGCACTGTGCACTGAAGATTTGCTGGTCATTCTGCAGTGCCAACCCGCAGGTAAAGAACATGAAGCATGCTCTGCCTGAGGCTTCTGAGGCAAACCCAACTCGTGCTGAGGCCAAGACATGTGACAGTGTGACGCACGGTCCCACAATAGAGTCCCGCACACTCGAAAAACGCTGGACCCCTAAAGTCACGCAAAAACGCCAGTCCTAAAAGCAGTCCCACGGAAATCCTTAACCACCGCAAGGATCATAGCGACGGAGGTGAGGGGGGAGATGCGCGGAGAGAGGGTGTCTTGACCAGAACTCATGGACCACCAAACCCTTGCGCCTTCGGCCTCCATAAGCTGATGACAAACGCACAACGATCAAAGTTTCCCTTGGCAGCTAGATACAAGATGTGCGCCCTCGTAGGAGGCACACATACCTCAAAAAGTCCACAACACTTGCAACCTTTCCCTTGGCAGGGCATACTTGCCTTGCATGTAAGCCCATGAGATGCGCGCAGCCTAGGGTTTCCATTTATCTACCAGTTTCTTTTCCATTTGATTCACCGTTCTCCCAAAATAACCCCAATATTTTAGTAGTTTCCATTTTCTTTTCCATTATCCCAATATGACCCCAAAATTTTAGCAGTTTCCATTTTCCTTTCCATTATCCCAATATTACTCCCACATTTCAGTAGTTTCCATGTTCATTTCCAATATCCCAATATACTTAAACCCTAAACCCTCACAACTTTAACCTTGACCGAGCCAACTGGCTAAGGGCTGGGATCCACCCTGGTCCAGGCCCTTCCCCAGCACGGTCGGCGCCGACCATGGTAAAGGTTTTACCTCAGGAAAAGAGGGTTTAGGGATGTTTAGGGTCACCCCCAAAACTGACAGAGAACCCATGAAAGCCCCCGAGGACAGCAATCTTCTAATGGGGATTCCGAATTAATCCGAATTATATTGGGGTAACGTTAGGGTTTAATTTGGGGTTACATTGGGGTGATACCTGGGCTATATGGGGATAATGGAAAATGAAATGGAAACTACTATTTAAGGTTTAGGGGGAGGGGAGCTCTTTCGAGTTGCTTGGGGCAATCTATGCACCCTGATGGGGCTCCGCACTGCTCACAGCAGTTTTACTGTTTCTTAGTAGGGAAGAAGGGAGTATATGTAATAATTATAGGGATTATCTAGGGACTATACTCCCTTATTCCTTACTGAGAACCCGTAAGCAAACCTAAGGTCCAAACTTCGAAGACAAAACCTACCCTAAGAAGCCTTGAAGGGAAGGTTGGGAGCAAATCAAAGTAAAGGTTTTGTAACTTCAGCATCAGCAAGTGAATCATGATCTTGCTCCCACATGCTCCAGCTACTGGAACCCTAAACCCTACTGTACTACATTAGCCACTGAAATCTGAGAGTTTCATATCATCCCCGGCACCTGCACCGCCAGCACCATATGTGATGAACGTGGTGCTGATGCCTGCACACAAGAAGAGGCTCAGGAAGCAGAAGGGATTCCCTCAATCTGCTAGACATACAATGAGCAAGTCCCAGAATAATTGTTTCGAACAATTACTTCCAACGGTTAGGGCTGGCGTCATGGACGGCCCTATGATGAGGATCAAAATTTGTTTGGTGGAGGGATCCCCTCTTTTTTGCATGCGCAGAAGAAATTAGCCGAAATGTAGCTATTTTTCGGTTTTTAGCTAACTTAGACAGTAGCAAGAGGCCTACCAATTGGACAACGGCCCGAAGAGACATAACCTTGGTCGGTTCTCTGAGTCTGTGGGGGGGGGATAACCTGGACGGGATTGAATGAGTGCTGCACCCTGGAAAGGCAGCACCAAGCCTTCAGCCCACCAGGTCTGTCCCACTCCAAAAAACCATGACGCAGGAGCCTTGTTTTCCCTATATAACCCTATATATCCCTATATAACCCATTGTAGTGTTTCCATTTTCTTCTCCATTATCCCTATATAACCCCATATAACCTCTGAATCATACGCCAATCTCGTGGCTTTCATCGAGCAGCCTTCCAAAGCTTCCTCGACAGCCGGTGCTGCCATCTCAGGGCCACGGAAGGTTGTGGGACGCTTGCGCAGAGGTTGGGTCCTAAGGAGTAGGCGAGAAAATAGAACCCCAATATACTATAGCAATTCCCATAACCCCTATATAATCCCCATAATCCCTGCAGTTTCCATTTTATGTTCCATTATCCCAATAAAACCCCAATATAAACAAGTATGTTCCAATAGACGGCCTGTAAAAGCTCAGCATCTGCCTAGAAGGTGGAACACACGCAGGCTGGGGCCACTTGAAAACAAAACACTCCCAAACGAATTACCAGTTCATCGGACCGCTATTGCTCCCCTAATCAGTAAATGCTTAAAGTCAAGGCGCCCGCATTGAAGTGGCAGCTCAGTGTACTTACCGCCCCGAAGAGAACTTCTCTTTTGGGCCCAGAGAGATCTTCTGAAGATCTGAATTGCATGCCAAGTCCTGGCCCACCAGGACCGGAATCGAGAACTTTTCTTAGATTCTAGAGTATCTCGCACCCCACAAAACAGCCGCCTCCCTTTTAGTATAAAGCTCTCCTAACTGGCACTGTTTACCTGATGTTCCCACCCATGCGTGCATACAGAAGTCTAGAGAATGTCTGAATTCAGGGGTGGCCTGACGGCTGAAAGAGACCAGTCTATCAACGTGATTAACACATTAGACACGAAACCTCAAAACCGGAATCTCTCATCTCACAGCCTCCTCGAATCCCGGAAGGAGGAAGAGCCTCACACACCTCCTTCTGCAGCGCTTCCGCGGCGAACACGGCATTGAAAGCGAAAGCGTGCCTCAACCCGAGCACTTGATAGGCAGCGCCAACCCCACAGAGAGAAGTTTGACAACATGAAGCACAGGGATTCTCGTGGGTCTTCTGCTTGCCTGTACTGGTTCTCTTCTTGTTGCTCCTCTTATCGCCAAAGACACTTGCAAAGGGGTGGCACAAACTAGGGAACAGTTGTTCGGCTTTGAAAGAACTAAGTCCAGACCCAGGCCCCAACACACCCGAGGCAACTGCACTGAAGCGAAGCCACGCAGCACGCGCACTTCTCCAAGGCCATTTCGGGCCGTACGTGCCGTTGCAAACAAACAGCTAGAGTACTGACTTGCTGAGTCTGGGGCTAGGACTAGAAAGCATGCGGCTCCAGATTTGGGGTCTTACCTGGACATCATTCGAGCCCGTGCGTCTGTAAAATTCTCCTGCGACGTTAGCAAATAACATCATCAAAACAGACTTGTTTCCTGAGGGGCCCGGAACGAGCTCACCTTAACCTCAGTTTGGATGGACGCTAATTTGTTTGTTGATCGCAAACGTCTTCTTGCTACTAGCCTGCCCTACTTGGTGCTGCAAAGCTTCTCGCGTGCTCTTGCATCTGTCAGGAGGAGCGACTCCTGGCTGCTCCATCACTTCTTGAGGATGTCAAGCAGCTAGGGGCCCTTTTGGTTGTTATGTTTGGGACATCCTTTTGGGCACAGCCGCGTGCGTGCTGCAGGCCTGAATTGCCACTATTCTACAGGCACCATACATAAAAAGCCTCCATGCGAAACTCCTGTACCGCCACATACTTGAGCGAGCCTCTAAAACCTCGTTTGACACAACAACCCCTGAAAGATAAAGCAAGTACTGTGGGGGTGATGCTGCTGCGAATACCCTGACAATGAGGATGATCTTGTCCCTCCAGCGAAACGCAATGGAACCTCCTGCGTGTTGCTTGCCATTACGGGGGTAAAAACTGCTGTCTGAACGACCAGTGTATCCACTGTAGGGTGTTGGGGCCTTGCCAGAGATCGCAACCACCTGCCGCTCTTCAGCATCCCGTTCTCGGCGAGTCAGTGGCCTTGCATTTCAGGGGTCCAAAGGGGGGCTAGTGTCACATCCTGCAGGCCCCATAACCAGACAACCTGTAGGGCTTTTGGGTGGTAGCTAGGACTTCTGCATTTCTCAAACATGTGCATGACTCTAGGACACGCAGTTTGGGCTTGGAAGTTGAAGACTCAGCTCTTTGCAAGCAATGGTGCTGCCTCTGCGGGTTTTCTAAAACACCTCATGCCGGCTAGTTCTGGAGGTCGAGCCAAAGAAAGGTCTGGGAGACCCTACCGACCTTCATGCCACCAAGGACCCCTGAATCCTACAACAGTTACTTTTGAAAAACCAGCACAAGATTAGAGGACTAGGATGACCTTTGAACCCAAATCCTTACACGACCTGTACCCATCTACTTCAGGGTCTACGGCTACGCCTCACACGGGCCATCACCATAGCTGCGCGCCCACCTTGTCAGGACCATCGGCTTAGTAGGTTATGGGTTTAGAGTCTACAGTAGATTCTAGACTAGAGGCTCCAGGTTAGGACATTGTCCCGGGGGCGGGATGTGAGATTTCGTTCGTGTACAGGCTGGAATTTTCGCAAACCCGCACATGTGGCTTGGACTGTGTGGGGATAATTCTACCCAAATGTAAGACTTCACTGCCCCTTTTTTGGCCTGGTCCTGGCAACCGTCCAATCTAGTATAAAACTTAAGCCTTCCTGTAAGGCCTTCTGGAAACGCTTCATAACACAGCAGCCAACATTTCAGGGTACACATGTTATAGTCCCCCATATTACAATGAGATCCCCATATACCCCATATTCTATCTACTTAAGGGGGACTATAACCTCAATATATACCCTATTATAATAGAGTAGTTTCCATTTTCTTTTCCATTATCCCTATATAACCCCTATAAAGCCCTATATTATATCTACTTAAGGGGGACTATAGGAACCACCCCTTCAAACAAAATGCATCGAACTCCTTGCTTCTCCGCCGTGGCACTCACCCGCAAGAGTTGGAGCTCAGAGGTGCCTCAGGGGCCCACTGCTTCACATAACGGTTTAGGGTTCAGGGTTCAGGGTTTAGGGTTTAGGGTTCAGGGTTTAGGGTTTAGGGTTTAGGGTTCAGGGTTTAGGGTTCAGGGTTTAGAAATGGGGGGGGGGGTTCCTTTAGTTGCGGGGATTGGGAGTCCCCCTATCTGTGGAAGCCAAAAGAATAGTTTCCATTATCTTTTCCATTCTCCCAAGATAACCGCAATAAAGCCCCAACGTAACGCCAATATAACCCTAATATTACCCGAACATAACCCTGATATAACCCTAACATAACCCCAATATAACCCCCTATGTATACAATCCCCCTTAAGTAGATAGAATATGGGGTATATGGGGACCTTTATTATAATATACCCAAAGTCATATTCTATCTACTTAAGGGGGGCTATATATACATATATATGTATATATATATATATGTGGAAGTTTCCCTCAATTAGGGTACCCCAAGATAGGCCCCAAAATGCTATAGTCCTTATTATAGGACCCCCTAAAAAGGTACCCCCAATTTTGGGAAACCCCATATATATATATATCTATATAACCTATCTTGGGCTCTGAGGCAAGTGGGGCACCCTAAGCTCAATCATCGATCCTTTGCTAAAAGGATGAAACAAGTTCTTCTCCTGACAAGATATAAGGGGTACCTTTAAAGGGGTTTATACGGATATATAGGGTGTTAAGGGACGGGGTTATGTAGGGTTTAGGGTTTCCCAAAATTAGGGGTACCATGGGGTACCCTTTTAGGGGGTCCCTATATTAAGGACTATAGTATTTTGGGGGTCTATATTGGGGTCCCCCTTTTGAAGGGAAACAACCATATGAGCTAGAGTCTATACTCCTTAAAAGGGGTTATTTAGGGGATAAAATGGGGGAGTATCTACGAGTTTTTCTAATGGGAT